GTCTTGGTGTCTGCGTCCCGATTTCAGGGTCAAATATTGCGTCCGCGTCCAGATTTCAGGGTCACATGGTCCACCCTTAGGGTCAGGCGTCCGCGTTCCGATTTAAGGGTCAAATATGGCATCCGTGTCCGGATTTCAGGGTCACATGGTCCAACCCTAGGGTGTGGCGTCCGCGTCCCGATTTAAGGGTCGAATGTGGCGTCCGCGTCCAGTGTCCAGGTTTTTGATGCTTGTACGACACATGCTATACTACTGTTGTAACACAGTACATGATATATTAGGCATTCGCGAAACGGTGATGATATTATTGTTCCATTTGTAGACTTTCCCTTACGACTGAATCGTTTATTCCCTCTACAGTACGTTAGTGGAATAAAGTTGATCCAAAAATTCGCAATGTCGACTCTATTTCTAAATTGAAGAAAGAATTGAAAAACGATAGTCTACTAAGTAAAGTTGAAACGTTTTATTTGTACTTTCGAACGAACACAATATTTAAATTTTAAAACATGTTCAAAATGTCATCAAAAGGTCAAACATATTTCTTGCACCTTCATAATGTTTTATTGATACTGACACGGAACATATCATCATCGACATCATCATCAACACTCACGTCATCATCACAAAATTATATGACTTTTCAAACTTTTTCTTTCTTTTCTCTCTTCTTTTTTTCCATATGTTAGCTTGTATACTATTCTATGAACTGTTTTTTTACATGCATGCTCATTATACTATTATTGTATTTATTTATATTGTATTATGAAGAAGACTTCAAAAGTATGATTTACTTGTGTCTAATCCATATTACTATAATTTAGCAAATAAAATATGTTTAAACTATATATTAGGCATGAAGATGGAATTTATTGTAGATTAGCTAAATTATCTGTCGTAAAAGATCGTACGATGCAGTCACAGAAAATCATCTGTCGTAAAGGATCGTAAGATGCAGTCATAGAAATTAATTATTAGATACGTCTGAACAAGTGACAGCTCTACGACAGATCTATCCATTGAATCACAAGTGAAGGTGATACATGGCTGAATACACATATTGTATTCGTTTAAAAACTTCAAACAATTTAAGATAAAAGTGTTAATAAAAAATGTTTACTATGTATAAATCTCAACTAGAATTTATATGCATGTATATGTATCATGTGCACGTTTCGATTATCAAATAAGTTTTGATCTATACAAATTAAAAGTATAAAGTTCCTTTTTTTTCTTCGAAATCCGTGTTATTGGTGAATTGATTTTTACCCTTGTATGTGATTAATGGACTGATTGATCGGTGACCGTTGTCCAGGGAACGGTCATTTAACGGATTCACTAAGTAAAATCCGTCAAACCAACAATACGTCAAAGACTGAAAGAGCGGTCATCGATCAGTCAATGATCAGTCAAAGTCACATCACAGATAAGTCCAAGACACGTCACCGATCAGTCAAACAGTAAAGGCTACGGGTACAAGGATATGTACATACCGGGAAACAAATTTATTTTTTTGAATTTACTGTTACAGAAGAATCAGCTGACACCAGCCTTAACGTGTGACCTTTATCAGAGAGAAGATTGACCAACTACAAATTATAAATTTAGCACGTCACATCATACAACCAATCAAATTCTATGAAATCTTTCCAGAACAAAGCAATGTTCTAAATCATTGGTGCATTCAACTCTAAATTAAATTAACTTATATTGTCAATTTTATTACAGATGATCGTAGTTTTGTTCCAGTATCTCTGGCTACCCCAACAAATGTTCGTCGCAAATAGCTAAAATTGCTAAATGTTGCATTTAAACACCATCAATCAAAAAAACAATCAATCATTATATACCCTGTCTACGCTATAAGATGGCAGTCTGTTCTGGTCTGTGTACCTTCTTTCTATATTTTCTGAACAGCCTATTTCAGCGTTTGCACATCGGTGCGACCCCTCATGAAGTACGTAAAAGTTTTTGATCGTAATGGTTTTCCAAAAAGAAATCTATATATAAACACTCATAACTGACAGAAAAAAGTTGTCGTTAAAAACAGATACGTATTATCAAAATTTCTATGGTTAGCAATTCATGTGCGAAGGAGCCTCTTGTTTGCTTGTAAAACAAGTTTGCTTTTAATAAGGATTTTGAGTCTCAAATCAAAATGATTACATTTGAATGTCCCTAATATGATCTTCATTGGAGTAAACAAGTTCTGAAATTTTCTATAAAAAACAAATAATGCTAACATGTCATACTCTAAGCATTATATTTCATCTTGCTATTTCTCTGTGTAGAAAAAGGATGGCATGAACAAATATTTTTTTCAATTTAGTATAAAAATACATGTAGTATATTTCAAAAGCTATAAATCATGTACATTTCATAATTATTCAATTAAAATGGATACAAGAAAGAAGTTTTTAATGCTTGAACAGAACTACAAACTAAAGTAGTAGTTCAGAATGAATATGATTTTATTACATCAAATATTTGGAATAATAAAAAAAATAAAGTTGGATTACAAACCCCTTTCTACAAAAATGGACAGAAAAGGGAGTTTGTTTGTTTAATGATCTTATCAATAATGATGGACATGATAAGCTGGCAAGAATTTCAAAATTTATATAATATAAGTACCAAATTTTTTATATACTAGGGGGTAATCTCAGCAGAAAAATCATATTTGAAAAGTCTTGATATAAAATGTAATCAGAATTAAAAACTTTATGGGCCAATCATAACAATTACTCTTTAAGTGTTCCTTAAATCCACAAAAGGATCAACAGTTTTTTATTTATAGAAAACCAAATATCACATCACAGGGAAAATGGTCTTCAATCCTTAATAAAAATGATTTTATCTGGAATAAAGTGTATAATAGACTACCATTTTACATAACTAAAAATCAAAATTACAATGGCTCCAATACAGGATTACTCACAGAATATTAGAAAAAATGAATTTCTTTATAAAATCAAAATGATACAAACAAATAAATGTACATTCTGTAAGGAATCAATAGTAACCATTGAACACATATTCTGGACTTGTCCAAAAGTATCCGACTTATGGGAAGAATTAAATGTATACAACTGTACAGATTGAATTACCTCTTAAGTTGGTGAAAGTTCTATTTGGGAATATAGAAAAAAAAATTAAAATATTATATGAGAATATTACATATACAGAACAAAAATGCAAAACGGGGAAGTAAATATTGTACAATGAAATAATTATCTAAAAGAAATTAAATTAATCGATTTGTTTTTATAAAATAAAGCATTGGAAAGAGCACACTCCTTCTGGAACTCCTGTCTGCAACCACTAGAATGGAATAATTAAAAAAATCTTAACTTATGAATTAAACAAAACTCCTCTCAATCCACACTGTCTATGTTTTTTTCTATTATTGTAAATTTATTGAAATGTCAAATTATTCATTAGAGAAATAAAATACATTTGTCTTGCCTATTGTTAGATGGTTAAGAATGACTAATTACCTTATTCCTAATATATAATATTGGTACATGTATTTCTGCCAATAAACTCATTGCAAAAATAATAAAAATAAGGTATTAAATAAAACTGGAAATCAACATTGAGTTTAGAAAACCTGCATTACTTCTTACCGCTTTATTTCATGATGTTAGTTAGATTATTTTTTAATTTGATGTTACATTATTTTTTTCTTCTTAGTTGATTTTTTCATATTCAACCTATTTATTATACTTTAAAGACATATTGTGCATTATAACTTACCTTAAGAAATTCATTGCAAACACTTGAAAGTATGACTAAACCTTTTCGAGTTATGTTAACATCAAAACTTGAGAACAAGGCTTACTCCATGCATGCATGGACGAAGGCAACTAATGTTAACTTAGTCCATGCTTGCATAGACTAAGTCTACTTGAATCATTGAATAATTTCAAATGTCTATGTAAAGTTAGTTTAGCTCATGCATGCATGGACTAAGTCTGTTGTGTTAGTCCATGCAAGCATGGACTAAGTTAACAGAAGTTGCTTTCATCCATGCATGCATGGAATAAGCGTAGTTCCCAAGTTTTCATGTTTACATAACATGAAAAGGTTTAGCCATTTTATCAAGTGTTTTCAATTTATTTTTTAATGTAAGTTATAATGCACAATATGTTTTTAAATCATAACAAATAGATTGAATATGAAAAAAATCAACTAAAAAGAAAAAAAAATGATAATAACATCAAATTAAAAATAATCTAACTAACATCATGAAATTAAGCGGTTAGAAGTAATGCAGGTTTTCTAAACTTGATGTTGATTTCCAGTTTTATTTAATACCATGTTTAAAATGGATAAAAGTAAATGAAACATTATACAATTATTGTCAGCTATCACAATTTAAAGGCTAAAACATTGAAGCATTTCATAATTGATAACAAATTCCACGAAACTTTTATTTCCATCAATGATCCCAAATGAATCTTTTCCTCCTCTAAAGCTGCATCTTGTTATGCAATATAAAAACCTAATACTCTTGTAGAATTCTAAAGATTTAATATTGTGAATATGAATATTTTTATGTAGATATTGGTAACTGCTGGGTTAGTTTGTCTGTGGGCTAGCAATTCATATCTGTTAATATGTTTCCATTTATCAATTGTGTAGCAGTGTCAAATGGTTGATCTTAGAAGCAGAGATTTCATAAATTAATTTTATTAAGAATGGTTCTCGTTGGAATGTTGAATGAACACATCATGTTTTGATAAGTACTATCCCACTCCATGTCAATATCGTCGATGAATCGAAAAAAAGAGAGGTTGATCAAAAGAAGTATTGAGAACTTTCTGTCATTATTTGTCCATAAAAATATAAGCATTTAATGGGACTATATTTGCTCCCATTGCTATCTCATACACCGGGTTATTGCATTTCAATACTAAAGCTAGACTAAGCATTCATATGGGTGTAAGATGTTGCAAAATGTAAGGTTTACTACTTTTTATTCTTTTATTTATAGTGTACATAAAAGATCAGTCTCAAACTCTCCTAACAGTAACCCTCAGAAAAATGGAACCGCTGTTATGCCAACACCACCTAAATTACCTAAATCCGCTTGTGTATCTACGAGTCAACAAGAGAAAACAACTCAAAAGCCCCAAAAAGATAATTCTGACAAGAAGAATCAACCATCAACTGCTAAGAAAGTAGATGAATCGGTCAAAAAAGGACAGAAAGAGGAATCCGAAGAATTAAGAAAACTCTCAAATAATTCGGACAAGAAGAATCAACCATCAACTGCTAAAAAAGTGAATCAATTGGTCAAAAAAGGACAGAAAGAGGAATCCAAAGAATTAAGAAAACAGACTAATGACTTGATGGTTATACCTCAACACACCTGTTCAAATTTACAGAATACTGTAATGAATGATGCAGTTTACCAGGGGTACTTAGACAGAAAGTTTACTTCAACTGACAGGATTATCAGGATTTTTACTAGTAGTACATTTACAGGTAAATAATTTTTCAGTCATTTAAAATTGATTATACTCTTTGAATCAATATATTTTGCAAGCATTTCACAAATACATGTCAGGTAATCTGTCCCTGTCGTTTATGATTTTGAACCCCGCTTCTGTTGGTGTAATTGTCTTAATTGATGATATCAGTTTATCCTATCGAACGTCCGTTTTTTCGCCGGGCATTCCGGCTTCCCTTACCAATCAAAACTGCCTGCCACGAAACAGTCAAAGTGTACATAAAAGTTAAAAGACCAATATTAAGCAATCGATCAACCATTAGTTTATAAGTGAAAAGCTGAAAACAAAATAGTAAATGAATTTTACAAAGGTGTATAACACTTTATTAGATATTCCTAAAATGTTGTTGTCCTGATTGAACATTGATACCTGTACATGTTAACAGGGGAGACAATCTATTACAGGTAGAAAGTTATCACTTTGTGAGTTACAGCTCTTTTCATAATGCTAGTAAGACAAAGGTTTGTTTGGCTTGCTTGCTTTGTTTGTATCAATGTTTGCTCAAGCATTGTAATTAAGATTGACATCTGAACACAATATAAAAAAGCGTTAAACTTGTATACATTATATATAAATTTGATTGGACATTATCAAATAATCAAATTCACCTATACACAGGTTTAACTCCGCCTACTTATATTGTTTGCAGATGTCAATCTGAATTACAATGCCTGAGCAAACATTTATACAAACAAAGCAAGCAAGCCAAACAATTCTTTGTCTTGCTAGCATTATGAAAAGGGATGTCAAGCTTAGTTTTATCTTACGCCTATAGTAATGATGACGTCATAAAAGTTAACTTTCAAACGTTTCCCTTTGTTTTTTTTGTTTTTAAGATTATAGTTTAAATGCTAAACATGCATTTTAAACATAAGGCCATAAAGGGTTAACTTTTTTAAATCATCCATCCGATATCATTATAAAAATATAAACTATTCGCCCCTTTTACCAGTTATATTTAAATTACCGCTAAGAAAATGGCAGTATTCTGTTTTACATATGTCTGTCCTTCTTTCCTTCTGTTCAATAGAATCTTTGTTGCATTCTTCTCATGAACTACATATCAGAGCAATCAGAAACTTGGAAATAAGGTTCACATTAGCAAGTTGTGTAGTTCAATATGTTACTCGTCGCTTTACAATTTCCCGTTTAAAATAACCGGTATATATTTACACATAATAGCCATGTAATGAATTCAGGTCACATTTTTCATAGGAACTTTTTTTGAAATTTGAAATAAATGATCATACGAGCTAGCTTTAATGTGTGCTTGTTTTATTTATATTCATTGCTCAACAACTTCCTGTTTACCTTATACATGTACTTATAGCCATGCGATTAGCACTGTCATCATTAGTGAGCAGTAGCTCAAGGTTTTACTTGTTAGGCACGACAGCATATTGGAAAGGTATACAGTCATCAGAAATACATACAACTAATTAAATGAACAGTTCATTTAGGAAAAATGAACCTTAATTGAAAATTAATCTTTCAAGATAAGCATTGAAATCATTTATTTTTATCTTTAGAAATAATGTTTGAAATAATAGAAAATGCATAATGATTTTATAATATGGAATACCAATGAGGAAATAATCCTCAAAATACTTCTTCAAGGCTTAGCAGGGGACACAATATTACTCATAATTTATAATAATATTTACAGACACTAAGCATGAGAGAAATAGAATGATGGAAACAACATTTCCTCGCCTTAGAGAATACTGTCAGCAGAGAGGTTTTGAGTTCCAAATTGTGGACATGAGATGGGGAATAAGAGATGAAGCTACCAATGATCACATGACTACGGAAATCTGTCTACAAGAACTCGATAACTGTCAGAAATACTCTGCTGGACCTAATTTCTTGGTATGATTACTTTATGAATTCAGTATTTTTTTGTACCCGAAGGAACCGACGCTTTTTGTGCCATCCCACGAAAGAATTTTCAGTATATTTTTGGATGGACACTATATATTCTATTGAGATCTGATAATTTACTACCAACTTTTCAAGATATTTTAGAGAGAAGTGACTTAAAACCCATCTTAGTTCTTGTTATGGGACATAAAAAAAATCATTTGTGATTAAATATGCATATGCCTAGCACAATCCTTATTTATATGATGCAATCGTCACTGATGCGTCTTGTGAAAACGAAACGTGTGGCTGGCGTACAACATTATAAGCCTGGTACCTGTGATAACCTTTTTAAAGATTATCTTTGAAACTGGGAAAAAGTGATGGCAAATAAGCGTGTTCTCTATGTAACGAAAACGAATGTTAATACCATTTTAAGTCTTCGAAACTGGTACATATTACAGAAAAAAGATTCCAAGTTATTATACGAAATATCAAAAAAAAAAAATTGATGTTTGACGATAGAAATACTTGGAATACAAATACCCCTCCTTAAAATGATATATCTGTTAAAAACACCGATGCACTTAGGATTCGGAATGCTATACGATATTTCGCAAATATCCCGGCCCTCTTTGATATTATAAATCTCTTCGAACGGTTATGCAGATTTGCGTAAATTGATAAGGCTTTTCAGTGAAGGTTACTACCACAAACAAAAAGGTAAATATTGATTTTTTTGTGAAGTATTATTTTAATGGGAAAACAACATTGAGTAGAATTAAAATGGGGATTTCTAGGTTGTGACTAGCAGGTCAAACTTAAATGAGTTCCCCCTCACCAAAATTAAGAAAAAGAAAAATAAAGTCAAAAATAAAAGTATCGATGAAAATAAGCTGTTTGACAACAAAAGGTAAAACAAATGTCAGTTACTTTGTTTTTGAACAAAAAAAAATAAAATTATTTTCAGTTTAGTTATTTTTTTTATACGAAATGTAAAGATATCTAAATTAACAATAATAAAATACAGTAGAATTTATTACATACCTATCTTGTTTTCAGTCACTGTTGTCTCATAAATATGGAAAGCGTTCACTTCCAAGACAGATTCCTGCAGAAAAGTATGAGAAAATATTCAAATGCATAGATTTGAGTGATCAAAAACAGCTTTTGTCAAAGTAAGTTAGATTAAAATGGTTTCAAACTGATGAGTAGAGTCTGGTTTAACTTATATTTTCCATTTGTTCTTATGTTGTGCTGTTATACTGACATCTCAGGTCTCTTATATAAAATAAATTAGAACTGACAAAAGAGGGCCAGTTAATAAATGATGCAAAACAAAAAGCCAACATACTAAATGAACAATTCCAATCAGTCTTCACCACCGAAACAGAAAATAATATGCTTGATAAAGGGACAAGTCTCCATCCAGTCATACCATCACTCAAAATAATACACCTGGCATACAGAGAAACTTTTACAAAACACCAATCCACACAAAGCCAGTGGCCCAGACAACATCAGCAGCAGAATACTAGAACAACTCCAAAACATAACGGCACCAATCCTCACCATCATTTTCTAGTAATCACTTACAACTGCCTGCATACCATTTGACTGGAAACATGCAAACGTCGCACCAGCATTCAAAAAGGGGGAAATTACAACTCAGTTAATTACAGACCAATCTCTCTCACTTGTATCAGTTGCAAACCAAGTGAACATGTCATAACAAAAAACCAAATTTATCATCTCGAAAATAACAACCTATTATATGACCTCTAGCACGGCTTCAGATATGATCGTATGAAACACAACTACAATCTTTCGTACAAGAACTAGCTTCAAATTCAGACAATGACTCAAACAGATTTAATAACTATGGACTTTGCCAAAGCCTTTGACACAGTCCCACACCAAAGACTCTTATACAAACTAATTTTATTGGTATACAAAATGAAACACTAAACTGGATCGCTGCCTTTTTATCAAACCGCACACAAACAGTAGTCCTTGATAGAGAGTCATCAGATGTTACTTCTGATGTCCCTCAGGGAACAGTTCTGGGTCCTGTTCTATTTCTGGTATATATATTTGACCTACCAGAATATTTGAAATCTAGTAAATTCAGAATGTTTGCAGATGACAGCATCATATACAAAAGTGTCAAATTTAAAAAAAAAGACTGCTTTAGCCTTCAGGAAGATGTTGATGCTGCTCTTCAATCTGACTCAACACACAAACAGTATTATTGCAAATGCAAATAAAAGCCCAGGCTTTCTGAAAAGAAATCTCAAAAAATCCATCACAAACATTAAGTCTCAGGCATACCTAACACTTGTCAGACCAAAACTAGAGTATGATTTACGGTTTGGAACCCTCATACTGCTGAACAATGCAATAAACTTGAGATGGTTGAGCGTCGGGCTGCTAGAAATGCCTGTAATCGTTATCACAACATCAGTAGCGTTACAGATATGATCAATACTTTAAACTGGACTACCTTACAACAACGCACACTTAAAACTAGACACATAATGTTTTATAAAATTGTTCACCATATTGTCGCAGTTCCATCAAAATTACTTATACCAACAAAAATAGAACCCGACAAATTCCACAAACTTACAGACACCTACTTACATGAAAATCGTTTACACAAATATTTATTTTTTCCTTTTACAATTACACAATGGAATATACTACCTCCAAATGCAGTACTTTCCCCTACACTAAATATCTTTAGAGAACAATTGACACCTACTGTTTTCTACAATATAGAACAGTAAACCTTAGTAGTTATGTAAATAGTTTTAACAATATGTCATGTTAGTATTTATTTATTTTTGGCATTATTCTTTTGTAAATATTTTCTTTATAATTATCCTACGAATGCGCAGCAGTTAGTAATAATAAAAAAAAGTTGATAGATAACTGGAAACCATAAGAAGAAGAAGGGGAGGGGGTGTTTGGTTCCAGCAAATACACTCATCTTCGTTACATATATACCTTATGTACCTGTCACATTTTTAATTGTATTTTATCATTGATATCTAGAAATATTTCTTACTATTTAAAAACACAAAATGGATGTCACTGCCTGGATTAAACACTTTTCGATTACGGGTTTTTCTGTATTCTTAGATAGTTTTGAAGTCTAAAATTATACAACTATTTGTCAAAAAGTTATGATGCACTTTAGTTATATGTCACTTAACAAAAGTAAGAATTGTAACATGATTTCAATAAAAAAAGAACATTCTTGAATTGTTACAATTCAAAAATTTTCTTGAATTGTAACAATAAGAGGGAGGGTTGGGATCCCGTTGAGATGTTTAACCCCGCCACATTCTGTATGTACGTGCCTGTCCAGAGTCAGGAGCCTGTAAATCAGTGGTTGTCGTTTGTTGCTGTGTTACATATTTGTTTTTCGTTCATTTTTTGGAATATTAATTAGGCCGTTAGTTTTCTCGATTGAATTGTTTTACATTTGTGATTTCGGCGCCTTTTATAGCTGACAATGCGGTATTGACTTTGATCAGTGTTGAAGGCTGTACGGGGACCTCTAGCTGTTAATTTAGTCTCATTGGCAATCATACCACATCTTCTTTTTTATGTACACCCTATTACATTTACTGCATTCTAATCTATGTAATACTTATATTGTACAGTTTATATACAGAAATGGTCTATTCTATTCCTCTCTATTTGTTTTAAGTGTTTTATTATTAGAATTAATGACATATTACAGTGTAAATAACGTTGTTTTCAACATTTGTGTGGGTATTTAAGGACAGTATGTGTTTTCGTGGATATTTGATATTTTGGTTAGCGAGATAAAGAGATGCAAGAAAATTTGGATAAATTTGTGGATAAGATTAATCAACAAAATCCAATATAAAATTTGTATACAACTTATTGTTGTGAATTCCCAGTAATTAAAACCTTAAATTTGTTTGTGAAACTCAAAAAATGAAATAAGCAGATAACAAGGGCCAATAGACACTAAAGGGGGTCAAGTCACAAGATCGGGTTCAAAATTTGCCTTTCAGTACCCTGTAACTTTTAAGCTAATTTGTCAGGTAACAGGTCCTTTCGAATGACACTTCAAGACCTCCTCATCCCCGGGAAATTGAAAGTTGTATTTTGTGGAGATGAACAAAAATATTGGTGAAGCTGAAATAATTTTACAAATAATTTTGTTGAAGCTATTCTACCTGGATGTAGTTTCTGCTTTGCTAAAGATATCTTTCATAAAAAAAGTCGTATGCTAGTTATAGATGTTATTCATTTGCTTTTCCTGAAAATGGTCAAATTTTGTTTTGCCAGGTGGTATGTAAAAGATGACAACTGTGTTCCACCACTATATATCCTTCAACCAATCAGCAGTCATCTGCCAGAATTTATTGTAAAACAAAACAAAGAGAAACAGAATGCAGCTAAAGAGCAATGGTGGAAAGAAAGTGACATGATGTTTGATAGCTTAGTAACAGGTGCAGAGAAGGCTTTAACACAAGAGGAGGCATACACATTCAAAATTTCAGGTATTTTCTTCTTTAATTATTCAATAAACATATCAACGGGTGTCAGATGTGACCCAAGACCTGCTAACCCTTACGGAGTACCTGCGATCGCCACTATTTATGCGATTCGAGTTGCTCAGTTTTTTTAATTTTCTTAGTTTTGTTATGCAGATTGGTGTTTTGTCTTTTCGTCGATTTTCACTTATTTTTACCCAAGGCTTTGTCAGTATGCCTTTCACATATGAGATTGATTGTCCATTTAGTATCTTACGTCTCTGTCTATTTTCTCCATCTCAGAAAATAATTATATTTTTCTGAATCTCGCAAGTAATATAGAAACGCACGAAACGCTCATCCTTATGTTGCGGATATTATTTTTTTACCTCAAATAAATTAAAGCAAGGTCAAAGTCCATTTATTTATTAGTACTATAGTATTTGCTGCTAGAACTTATATAATAATTAAGGTTACCTTGAGTTATCCAGGTAAAGGTATATGGCAGATCTCTGTCAGATACAACTTGGAGTTCCAGGTTTAGTTTAAACGTCTGTCTTTATCAAGTACTGGAGTTATTCTGCAAAGTCAAAGAGTACATACCGCCGGAAAATGACAGGAACGGAAAAGAGAATCGTCCAGGTTCCTTGATAATGAGTTCCGGACGATTACAACAGTACTATGGCGTCATCGACAGGAAGTGGGTACTGCACATGACTAGAAGTAACAAAACATAAAGAAATTACTGTGCACGCGGGACCAGAAGTCGCATACCTCGATGTGCGCATGCGTGACAAAAGTTACGTGATGTATTGGGACCGCCGTCTTTAATTGCGACATTGTGCATCTTGACCGGAAGTCACGTTTTGTTTCTCGCCCTTTTTCATGTTTCTCGCCTTTCCAGTTAGTGTTCCAAATGTTTTCGTACTTTTAAAGGTAGAAACTCCTAAATTGAATTAAGGATTCTCGGGTTTTTAACTTAGGTAGCAATAAACAGTTAGATCACCCATAGTTTTTGGTATGGTTCGTGTTTCTCAGTCTTTAGTTTTCTATGTTGTGCTTTTTGTACTATTATTTGTCTGTTTGTCTGTTTCTTTTTAAGCCATGGCGTTGTCAGTTTATTCTTGACTTATGAGTTTGAATGACCCTCTGGTATCTTTCGCCTTTCTTTTAGGAGTTCAGTTTCACATTATGGCCATGGTGGATTTTTCAAATATGAGAGGTTTTGCACATTGAAATTCATTTTTAAATAGCTGAAGTAAAAAAAAATAGCCTACACAGTGTGTTTGTGTAATGATAAAGTATGTTTTACGGGCAATTTTTGGTTTTGAAGTCCGCATCTTGGTATACATGCTGGTCATTGGTCAAGAAATTATAGTGATGATTTCAAACACAGTTTTTTAGAACGAACTTTCCAACGCAATTTACGAAAAAACAAAGCGATTGACATATGATTTCTCTTTCTCTTTTGTAGGTGTATGTAAATAGGTTCAGGAAAGATATCACTCAAGGGCATTGAAATTCTAATTTTGACCCAATTTTGGGTAAACATATGACACCACCGGCCTCATTTTAAACAAATTTTTAAAGCAAAAAAAAAAAAAAAAAAAAAAATACAGATGGTTGCCATGGATACACCATAAATACATTTGAAGTATTGGCAATACAATCTTTGGATGATTCTGATTATAGACAGATGCACATATATGACACAATTATTAAGCTTATACAATTAAAAAGCAAGGAAAAGAGGATGGTTCTAAATTGTGAGGCTATATTTTAACATTGTCAGCTAACTGTTTATTGCTACCTTAAGTAACAATGGTATCATTTTGGGTTGGGGTTCGGAACTGATAAGTAAAAATTCCGGATTGTGTGGCCTAGTTTGGGTTTCGGAATGGATTAATTAAAATTCCGGATTGGGTAGTCGGGTTCAGAATGGGTCCGTAAAATTCCGTATTCATACATCACGTGACTTTAGTATGCGCAATAAGCACATCTGGGTCTGCAACTTTCGGTTATGCATGCACAGTACCAACCTCCAGTTTTGTTACTTCTTGTCAGGCGCAGTAACCACTTGCTGTCGATGACGTTATAGTACTGTGACCTCACGGCACCCCCATACAGCACCATTTTATTGATAAGCGTTTCGTATATTCTATACTACTGATGCATTTTTAAATTACTTAAAATTTCTTTTGAAGTTACCCATACCGAGGTCATGAGAGGATTAGCAGATCAAAAACTTGGTGAGAAATGTATCTGGCTGAAACGTAATATTACAGATATTGAAAAGCAGGAACCTTCCAAAGAACTGTCAAGATTTACAGGTATAGATAATTTATTGAAGAATATATATATATATATATATATATATATATGTATTTATCTTTTGAGAAAAAAAATCAATGCACCCTCGATTTTTGTTTTTAAAAGAGAAAAAGATAGGTCCATGAAAAATTTAATAGAAATCTTAGGTAATCTAAAAACTATGTGTTTCTTAAAAAACCCTTAAATAATTTTAAGGATTTACCAAAAAAAAGTCTTATTAGTTATCGTAACAGACTTTCATCGGAATTATGCCACAATTTAAATTAAAAAGTATTAACATGTCACAGTAGTCTTTATGCATTGAGTAAAAAAACACAGTTACCTAAAAGTGGTGAATAAAATATTTGTACTTATTTTATACTTGTATTTATTTGATTATACAATACTTAAAAGCAAGGTTTGTAAAACATGTTTGAACCCGCTCATTTTTAAGGTGTTAATTTTAAATATATAGGCAACAGTAGTGTACCGATGCCAAATAGTCATATATTGATGAACGGATAAAAACTAATACAAACGGAAGAAAACAAAACTACAGAAAATAAAAAACACAAAAAAAAACCCCAAAACCCCCCCCAAAAAACACTGAACTCAACCAAAAGCGAACGCTAAAATATTTTATCTAGAAACGGACTGTCTGATAAACAATATCCATACTCCCAACTTGGCACAGGGAATATTTAAAGAAAAAGGGTTGGTTGCACCTGGTAGATTGGCTAGTCAAACGTCCTGTCTGTAAGGGAAATGTTTGAAATAGCACTAGAATGATACACTGAATGACAAAAAAATAACCGAAGAAAAATAATTTTATTGTCGTACGTACAAGGATGAAAACTAAATGTGACGAAAATATAAAAATTAAAAAAGCGATCATTGTAAGGTAACACTTTAGGTGTCATAGCTTTTCACATGAAGCACCTATTAAGTTTAGATGATCTTAAATAAAACACTTTAAGAAGCATACATTTAGCTAAAAACCTACAGTTCTTATTGTAAAAGGGAGATGTTTACTTAAATACTTTAGACGAACACTCCAATTAACGGACAAAGGCACATAAGTAGTATAGAATAAGCTTTTTGTCAAGTTTCATAAAGGATTTAGGGGGGGGGGGGAAATTTTTGACGTCATAAACCGAAAGTAACGTCAAAGACCGGAAGTGGATCCCGCCCATGACCGGAATTTATGAGCCCGAAAATGGTCACCGCACATGCAAAATCGGAAGTCACGTTTAGTTTCCCAAAGTTCTCAGTAAGTTTTCCAAACTTTCCCCGCCCTTTTATCGTTCAATACTCCTCATTGGGGTAGTTTGGGGTAATGGTTTTTGGGATTTTCACCATAGATTACAAGGGTATGATTTTTAAGTCAGGTTCGAAACGAAAATATTCGAATTACGGATTGGGATGCTTTATCAGAGGTCGGCGTTCTGAAGTCCGATTACGGAAATTATATGTTCACACTGCGGATTGAGTGCTTTCTATGAGGTTCACGTTGACAAGTTATGAATAGGCTCGAATTCCGGATTGATGTTCCGTTCGGTTACAGATTGGCTAAGTAAAGCTAAGTATGTCACTCGTGTTTGGTTTTTACTACTGCTGATGGACGATAGGGTTTTTCTGCCTCTGCAAATTTAGTGTGATTTAAAGGTGTTCAATTTTCACGGAGGGTTTTCGCTGCTCTTGTAGCTCTTGTCGTGCTCATTTCTTAGGCTATTAATCTTCTTCGCCCCTGTGGGGTTTTGCAGTAGCTTTGATTTTTCTGTGAACAGAATATTTCTCCCGTGTCATGTATCTTTTCCTTTTATCAATCAAGATTATATTTTTGTTGAGTTTCATATCCTCATATATCGCACAGCAACGTGTAGACTGTTGTGTCCTTTTCTTTTAAAATCCGAAGATTGAATTAACCAATCTTTCAATACATGTTTAATGCATATACAAATATTTCGTAGTTTGACTCGTTCTCCATCTTACGAATCAATGCAGCCTTTTGCAAAAAACTCATTCCTGATATGTTTGATATCCCCTTTGTCTTGCTTGATACATTTATTATTGTATCTCCACCACTAATAGTACGTGTTCCTACAAGATTTAAACTGTTTCAAAAATTGATAGGATTGCTCTAATGTTTTTTTTTTACTTTGCATCTCGAGCAGGTTTTCAGATTGCAGAAGATTCTCCTGTCGAGATCATTATATGCAGAGTTTCATCCCAGTTCTTATCACGATGTTTGTATTTTCTTTGAAATTTCGTAGTAGTTTTTTTCTTTTTTCTTAGCGTAATAGTTGACTCATTATTAGATAAGCGTATGACATATTCTATAAAACATTCGTATTGTACTAGTTTTTTTAACAACTGATAATTGAACGGTTTGTTTCGTCTTATAGAAGTTATCGTGTATATTTCTACATTCCTTTTTCTAACTTGTTACTCACAATTGTTCCCGTTCATTTTCAAGACACTTACATCTGTTCTCTATATTTATAAAGACGCTCCCCGCTGTTCTCGAGATTTTTCCAGATACTGACAGCTGCTCTTGATTTTGTTAGATATACCCAAGATACCCTCGATACTTTTCGACATACTCACAGTTGCTCTACATATTTTTCAAAACTCTCACAGGTTCCCTTTGGTTTTGTATTAGTATCTGTCATCATCTGCAAAAAGCTTCCGTTAGTATTCCTGTGGTTTTCCTTTTCTCTTTAATTCATATTTCAATGGGCGTGATTACGTCACTTCCGGTTCAGAGATTAACTATTGTGTTTTGTCGAGAAGGTAGACATCGGGAAGAAACTTCTTTGTCAACGGATTCTGTAAACAAATATCATTCTGGTACAGGAAAAGTGATAATTTGAATGAAATCAAATCAAAGCTGTTAATTTCTGTGTCATTCTGGTCTCTTGTGGAGAGTTGTCTCAATGGCAATCATACCACATCTTCATTTTTATAGAGCTACAAAAATACGATTACACGTGCTTGTAGTGTACTTTAAACTTTTGTTTCTGTTTACATCAGATATTATGACCATCGAAATTCTTCGGAGATTGACTCGATGATTAATTAGATGGCGTCGAGACTAAACCGATGATTATAACGAGCCTATGCATAGTTAATACTTTTTTTATGACTTTTTGTAATTTGGACATTCGTTTAAATGTGTCATTAATTTGATTCGAATATGTGAACATGAATTTGACAGCTAGTGCTCCTTTAAGTATAATGTTTAGGGAAAAGGTAATTAACCATGAAGTTGAAAACACCAAGTTTAAACTTAATTCCTTACAGTTTACTGAACAATGAAAATGACATTGAGAAAACTCAGTGCATGTTTTACCAAACAATAATTCTGTCACTTTCTTATAGAATGTACTGGTCCTGAAGAAAAAGTCAAAACATTCAAAACATTGTTAGAAGATTTAAAAGGAGATTTGTCAAGGAAATTACCTTCAGAGAATATCCTATCTTATAACATTACATGGCAAGAAAAGGGTGAGTAAGTATTCATATTAAAGTTGACACTTAATAAGGTCACTGCAACCTTGTTTAATGTATTCTAAAAAATATAGTGATTTTAATCTGAGTTTTATATGTTAAGAGCAAATCATGAATAATAGTAAAATTATATTTGCTATTTTATTAACTTTTTACAAGTTATGTCGATTTGGTCAATTGTTGTTAATATTAGTCTTTACAATGTAGAGCTACTTGATGAACCAAAAATTACAAAATAGTTTACATAGACATAAGAAGATGTGGAATGAGTGCCAATGAGACAACTATCCATCCAAGTTACAATTTGTAAAAGTAAACAATTATAGGTCAAAGTACGGTCTTCAACACGGAGCATTGGCTCACACTGAACAGCAAGCTATAAAGGGCCCCAAAAATGACTAGAACAAACCCATTCAAACGAGAAAACCAACGGTCCAATCTATATAAAAAAAACGAGAAACGAGAAACTCTTATGAACCACATCAACAAAACGACAACTACTGAACATCAGATTCCTGACTTAGGACAAGTGCAAACAAATGCAGCGGGTTTTTACGTTTTAATAGGTACCAACCTTCACCCTTATCTGAAACAATAGTGTAACATCATAACATAGAAAGACACACTATAAAATATCAATTGAAATGGCTTAACTCAATCAAAAGACATATTAACACAAGTGAACACACACTGAACGAATAAATCTGATCTATGACACAATGTAAATGCAAAATCAATAAGATAAGGGGTTAGATGTTAACCAATTTATTACATGTATTGTTTTCTTTTGTAAAATCCAGGATTGAATCCAGGTTTTAAAGAACACAGTGATTACCTAGATAAAATCACTGATGATGCAGAAAAGAAATTAAAGCAGTTAATAGATAACACGATTAGAGCCGACAAGAAGAACAAACAGGATAATTTACGTCTTGAAGTCAAACAACATCTCGTGTTTTGTCAGTCAAAATGTGCCGATTTTAAAGGCAAAAAAAATACTTTAGAGGTAGGTCTTCCAATCATGGGATACTTTTCCTAGATACCTACTTTATTTGCCTGAAAACAAAATTTAATCTGTTTTAATCTAACAGACTTTCTATCTTATTAGCAGCTAACAGTGATGAATTTATAACGTGTGAGCACTTTTCAGAACTGTCGGCACACACGCCTTTTTTGCCGATACTTGCAATTACGAATGGTGTGCATTCTTATTTGTGATATTATTATATTATAATGGAGAGAAATATTCAAATTAATTCTGTAATTTTAATGGCTATCTTTACAGGGTATTTGAGTCCATATACTAAGTGAACGACCGAGGATAAGAATGACAAGACATGATGGAATCAAGACTCTCATGTCTAATATAATTGTTATTTTGGCTTCACATGAGCTATGACTATCATGATTCAAAATAATATTTAAATCATATTGCTGATTTTCCTATTTGAATTGTTAAACTGTGTTTTGCTTGCCATGTAGTGTGGGCTTGTGCTCTGGGAAGCAGTAAGGTAGCCTATAGTTGTTAACAACAATGAAATTCGATCAATGGTGGATGGTTGTCTCAGTTGCATATTTCTGTTTCTTTTTCAGGCAGTACACAACTATATTAAAAGTGACAAAAGACATCCTCTTGTTATCCATGGAGAATCTGGTAGTGGCAAAACATCACTTATGGCCATGATTGCAAAAAAAGCTAATGATTGGCTTGATGGGAAGGCAACTGTTGTCATAAGGTAAGATTTAGCTATGTCAAAAGAAAAATAAATTTATGCTGAAATAGTCACCTATTTCTACAGAAGATTTTAATCTTTTCAGAAGTTTTACAATAAAATAATCTTTCAGTTAACCAGATTTAAGTTTTTATATATATTGTTTGTTTATTCTTTGGGCCAGCTGAAAACATAAAAAGATCTATTATGACCTCTTTTTGAAAAAGGTTCAGTGTAATGAGGTAGTGTGTCTCTCTTTTCAAACCCTTCATCCTTCTGTCACACCTTTGTATCAACAGTTGTTCCTAAACAACTTGACAGAGTTTTGTAAAATTTTCACAGAATCATACACGATTTTCTTTTACAACTTCCGGTATATTTTTTGAGTCAGAACTCTTTCTATGGTTTTCGAATAAACAAATGGACTTTGACCTTGCTTTATTTGAGGTAAACATTTTTTATCCGCAACTACTATTTTGTTTATTTTCTTCAAAGCCTGGACTTAACAATGTTTTATTTGGAGAGAACGCCTTCTAATTCCGCAAATTTAATGAAAATTTCACAGAATCTTTATCATATAATGCCATTGTGAACCAATGTTTTTTGGTTTTGGTTATAATTATTTCTATGGTTCCCATTTTAAAAACACAGACTTTGCCATTCTTTACGTGTCTTAAGGGATAGCTACTTCTCTAATATCAACGTACAGTTACCATAGGTTTCTGTCCTCATAGACATATAACAACTGACTTCGAACCAGAAATCTCTCCAGCTTTTATACGCTAAAGGAGAAGTGTCCACTAATAGTACCTCAATATTAGAAATATGGTTGCCTTTAGTTCACCTTTTAGAGAACCCAACAGAGATTTTTCTTGAATTATCTTGTTCGTTTAAATGTTTAAACGCAGTAATAAACATATGTGTACAAAAAAAAAATTCTACTGGTACTAATGTACTAAACTATTCCGGTTAGTCAGATGCTGTACAATGATAGGTCACACTAGAAAAAAGCGGAAGTGGTTACTGCATTTTTTATGCGCAATGCAAACCATTACACATTTCAACTCAAATTGTATGCTATTTTGTATTTAATCACGTGTATAGTTTTAACATTGTTTTGGGTCGTTTTGAAAATAACACGTTTTCAACAAATATTCTTTTTAATCGCAATTAAGCATAGAAATAGAGTATAGAGACATCCCTCGGGCCGGTATTATTCGCTTTAAATATGAACACAAATGAAAAGAATAGCAAGAAGATTGCACAAAAATTACCCTGACCATTACATTAAAACTGCATTTCACTCCAAAAATGCATAACAATTCTTTGCATTTAATATGGAATTGCTATATGCATAGACTCACAACTGACTGATGCTTATGAATGAAATCATTTTCATATGGGCTATACGAACAACGTTAAATATTTAATATGCCATTTACAAACTTTGTGTCTAATTTTGATTTAAATACATTTAGCCATTTTCATCTAAATTATTTAACATGAACAGTGTGTCGAGATAAGATTGGTCTATTATTGTTACAAAGAAATATCTCGTGTTAAACAAGTCTTATTTATAATAGAAATAGCAAAAGAACAATTGTGTAATAATTTACTTCTTGTATGTTCTGTTTTAACTCATTTCTTTTCTGAATGCATAAACATATGGGATTTATATATGTTGGTAGGTTTCTTGGAACAACTCCGAAAAGTTCCAATCTTTTTGAATTGTTATGTAATTTGACAGAACATATCAGTGTAGCCAAAAACCTGGAACGTCTAAATCCAAAGGTAGGATTTTTTTATTGTTTTATAAAATGAAGCAGAAAATCCTGTAGTTCCTCATTTAAACTGTTGTGCAGAAATATACATTTAAATTCACCATAGTTACAATAGTATTTAGTACATATTAACAAAAATAAGCAATGAATGTTGTAATTGAAATCTAAATTTATGAAGCCAGAAAAATGATAAATGACAACATTGCAAATTATTGTTTAGGTTAATTAAAATATTATGTGGTCAATATTAGGAAGTCTTAACTGTTCAAACAACTGGTTCTATACAAAATATTGAGTACTTCAGCGTCAGTGTATATTGTTAAAACTGGATTATTAAATGAATTAATTTTAATTTTGATTGTGTGACTTAAATTAGTATGATAGCTATGTACGTTAGTTCAATAGTTATCTGAACAACGAAAATTGCAGTTTAAAATTTGAATTTTATTCTACTTGGAAAAAAGTTATCAATCATAATTATGCATGTAAATTATAGGTTCTTTTTTTCTAGAGCATCGAAGAAGCTTTGTCTATTTTTCAACAGACTATAGCAGGAACAGCAACATCCGAACATGATATAACAGAAAGAACACAATCAGAACAGGATATATCAGGAACAACAGAACATGGAAAAATGAATATCACAAGTCCTTTAGTCCTAATACTGGATTCCCTTGACCAATTGGACCCTTCCTACAATGCAAGAGGAATGAAGTGGTTACCACCATTTATAGGCAATCAACATGTTAAAGTTATAGTATCAACCTTAGAAGATCAAAAGTATGAAGCATTTCCTAATCTCAAGGTATAACAAATCTTCTAAGGTTTTAAATAAAAACTTTTGATATAAAATAGGATTTTGTATTATTAGGATTGACATTCAACATAATGATAATTATTTACACCACTGCTTGTAGACGTTTCATCCCCTAGAATATCACTAGTCAAGTAGTCAGCACTTCGGTGTTGACATGGAATATCAATTATATGGTCATTTTAATAAATGTATTGTTTGCAAAACTATGATTTTATCGAAATACTAAGGATTGTAATATCCCATGCATATATTACCAAAACCGTATTTGGCATCACTTTTTGGAATTTTTGGTCTTCAATATTCTTCAACTTTGTACTTGTTTGGCTTTCTAACTATTTTGATCTGAGCGTCGCTGATGAGTCTTATGTAGACGATGAAACGCGCGTTTGGCGTATCAAATTATAAGCCTGGTACCTTTGATAACTATTTACACCACTGGCTCGATGCCACTGCTGGTGGACGATTCATATCACCAGTTCAGTAGTCAGCGCTTCATTGTTTATTGTATCTCCTGCAATACTAAACACATCAACTCTCAATAATCTAATGCGTAATATCTACAAATTTAAGACGAAGCCAATCACAGATTTTTATGCCCTCAGAAATAATATAAGTGTGAAAAAAACATAGCATCTCAAGGGGAATGGAATCGTTAGTTTCTAGTAAAGGTGCAACAACATGAATTGCATTTACTGATAGTGCATTATTCCATGTTGTTGCAATAAAAAGTGAACATTACGATACAAATCATTGCAAAGATAACCAAAACAATGTCATATATCGAAATTATATTGTTAATGATATCAATAGTGCCACATAAGACACTTTTCTTGGCAGAATATGAGTGTGAAAATATCGAATCTGTATCTTCAATCATGGTACCATTTGTATAAAAATTACTAATTTACTAATTATGTCAATATGCTTCTGCTTTTTTTTAAATACGGGCGGATGCGAATAGATAAGATGTGTTTTATATATTGAAAAATTAATGTAAAATTATTTTACCTGCTTGGCTGATATTTCAGTTAGCATCTGTCTTAAATTATACAGCATATGTTTTCTGTATTCAGAGTAAAGTTCCAGGTGAAAGTTTTATTCCTGTGGCAACTATCCCAAAAGCTGATGTGAAATTAATTTTGAATCACTGGTTGAAAAGGAAAGAACGAAGATTGACGCAAGAACAGGAAGTTTTGCTGTATAAATCATACGATCAGTGCCCTGTTCCATTGTATCTGAATCTTTGTTTTTTAAAAGCTTCTCAGTGGACTTCTTATATTGATGTTTCAAGCATCCAGTTGTATCAGACCGTGAGGGAAGCTATTAATGGTCTATTTGCTAAACTTGAGAAACTTCATGGATATGATTTCGTGTCTAAAACTTTAGGATATCTAACTGCAGGTAACATGTTTGGAAAATTATATTTAAATTGAAATGATTGAATATGAAAGTTTTAAATAAAGATATCAAAGAGACCTTTATGTTCAAAAGTTGAAGATAACCTGATAAAGGGCAAATTTTAAACCAAACAGCAACACAAGACAACTAACAGTTTACACAGTACATCATAGAAACTAAAACCTGAGAAACACAGCCTTTTAAAATAAACCAGGGGTGATAACATAGTTAGTATGTATAGTAAACTTTACAAATATTGATAAAATTTAGTAAGCAAAACTTGATGTCATAATGTAACCTTTTTGATAGATTTAAGTCTTTCATCAATTTGTTGTTGCTAAGTGAGAAACTTTTTTTGGCCGGATCCTCTTCAAATTTGAATAAGATGTTTTCTTTTTGTCGGATCGTCTTCAAATTTGAAAGGTTTTTTCACATTAACATCTATAATGAAAATAATTAGAAATATCTGAAATGGAGAAACATACTTTTGTGGAGAGTGACTTGTAAACTTCTGGTTGACATTTTGATGACATTAAAGAGTTACCATTATTGCCACATAAAACGTATTTGCTGGCCTAAATATGTCAATATTTAAGTTTATATAACGTATAGTTTGTTTTTATACCCTGCCTTTAATTGAATATAGGAACATTATGTGTTTTGGCTGTCCATTTATTCGTCAATCCTGGATAAGGTTTAAGTATTTGTCGAGGTAGTTTATGATAAAGTTGCAATAACCTCGACTTTAAGACATGAATAAATCTACCTAAACTGTATGCTAAATTAAGGTTTTACACAGAGAAGGATAGTGTAAGCGGGACATCCTATCCAAGGATGCGTATTTTCGTTTATTATTCAAATGGTAGCTAAATGCAAACAAAGACTAAAAAAAAAGGAAACCCCGAATACATTCGTACAATGATTTATTCTAGGTGTTTATATTTTATTGTGTAACTCATTGCTAGTAGTATCCTAACAACCAAGAATCATATTTTCAAATTAGCAAATTACTTGATCATTATACAGCAAACCTAGGATTGACTGAAACAGAATTAGAAGACATATTGGCTTGTGATGATGATGTGTTAAATGATGTGTATGAGTATTGGACACCACCTATCAGAAGACTTCCCCCATTACTACTGGTGCGACTTCGACATGACCTACAACAATATTTAGGTTTGTGTTACATGATTTAAAACAAAATTCACGCGTGTGTAACATGATCTACAACAATACTCAGGTTTGTGTAACAAGGTTGTCAACGATATTCACGTGTGTGTAACATGATCTACAACTCTATGTACGTGTGTGTTATATGATATATACCAATATGTACAGGTGTGTAACTTGATCTACAAAAATATGTTCGTGTGTGTAACATGATCTACAATAATTAATAGGTTTGTGTTTCAATGTCTACAACAGTTAATAGGTTTGTGTTTCCTATTTTACGTGTGTGTAAAATGACCTACAACAATACTCAGGTTTGTATAAAAAGGTCGTCACCGATACTCAGGTGTGTGTAACATGATCTGCAACAATACTTAGGTTTGTGTTACATAATCTACAACAATACTTAGGTTTGCGTTACATGATCTGCAACAATATGTACGTTTGTGTTATATGATATACACTAATATGTACGTGAGTGTTATATGATCTATACCAATATGTACGGGTGTGTAACATGATCTACAAAAATATGTTCGTGTATGTAACAATTTATAGGTTTGTGTTACAATGTCTATAACAATATTCAAGTGTGTGTAAAATGATCTACAACAACTAATACCCGGGTGTGTGTAACAAGGTCGTCACCGATACCCAGGTGAGTGTTACATGATCTATACCAATATGTACGGGTGTGTAACATGATCTGAAAAATAAGTACGTGTGTTACATGATATTCGACAATCAGTAGGACAACCGGATGTGCCTTTTTGGTCAAAATGTGATTCGGCGGCGCTCAGTAGTCCTACGCCGAAAATTGGACTATTTTGCGTCGGCCGACGTCAACTGAAAAATGGCGCGCTTTTGTATTTTTTTTTCCATTCGTTTACGGCAAAGTACTGACTGTAAATACTGTTCATTGTAAGCAGATTTATAAGAGAAATTTATATGAGTTTACATATTATTTTCATTTTCGAACATGAAAATAAAAGGAAATCTTATTTTTTAATATCTGAACATAGATTTCGGATTTTGATTTTCTGCACTGAAGATATAAATAGCGATATTAAAAATGGGTACAAAAAATACATATCCTTCGAATTTCCTAAAAATTTTACATCCTATTCTCGCTAGTTTTTCGCATCGAAATTCGAAAAGAACAGGATGTTCAAACCAAGGCAAAAATTTGTACCCATTTTAAAGTAGGGGTCTCAAATTTTGATAGGTTTTTTCTTGCAAAGCCGGTAGATTTAGAAATTGGAAGAGTTTCTGTTTTAAAGTAAATATTCATTCAACTGTCACGAAAAGGTGAATCCTTAGATATTTAACCTCTTTAAAAATAACAATATGTGTCAATAAATTGTAAAATTATAGATTTTTTTCGAAATTGAAGAAGGCGCCATATTCGTCTATTTTTCTATTACGTCTATTGGTCTGCTATAGTTATTAGATGTTTCTAAAAAATCTCCGCCTCAATTTTTTTAAACTTTCATATAATAATCTTTGGTACATAATGTATATGTAATGAAAAAATTAGGCACTTCTATCGAGTAAAAACGGAGAACGGTCATCTTTATTTTGTATGTCCCCACTATGGGGGCGCGGTCCTCCTTTAACCTTGTTTCTGAAGTACACGATAGCTATTCATCTCTCGAAAATAATTATCCACTAAAAATTATTGAAACATAACAAATTTATATTAAGACATCAATAAGTTTTAAGGTAGATAGGGTGTCTTCCTCCATCTTGGATTTTGAATACCTGAAAACAATCGGTCTAGATCTTTAATAGAATGTGCAAATTTTGAGAGTAGTAGGTAATTCATGTGTAAGAATTTTCATTTCAATATAGAAAATGACATGTTTTATCATATTTATGGTTGTATTTTACAAAAAACAGAAAACTTTTGTTTGATTCATTTTTTTCCAACTTTGCCACATAAGGGGAGGCAACTCAAATGTAAGGGCAGATAATTCAGATGAAGGTACTTTTACAATAGAATGTGTTAGGAATTTATCTATTTTATTATGTAGCAAGAAAACGGGTCCGGTGACCCCATTTTTTCTTTTTCTTATCTGAAAGCATACTATTAAAGCTATCTTCTCATATTTTATTTCAAAATTCTATGGTGTAGTTCTCGTTTTATGGCAGAAAATTGGGTTTTCCATGCATAATCTATACAAAATCTGTTAATTTTGAACAACCTGTAGCGTGAAAATAAGCCCCGTGACCCATTCTTTTTATCATTTTTTTTTAAAAAGCTTGATATAAACTACATTTTGGCAAATTATTAAAAAATTCTATGGATTATAATTTAGACACCCCATCTACCTTAAGTGCTAGTGATCTTTTGAACCAGAATTGTCGGAATAGACCTCATCCGAAGTTGTGTCAGTACCTATATCAACGTTGTCAATTTCCGGCGCCGAAAATTTCAACGTAAAATGTAATTAAATGTTGGATTCTTCTCTTCTCTTCATTGTAGCAGTTTTGTTTTTATGTTAATGTCAAAGAAGTCATGCGATGTGTTGAATCCATATCAACATTATACCAAAAAAGGCCGAGCTTGGTAAAATAACAGCTTTAGGCTATATATCTTTGACATCGTACTTCGTGGATCCATATTTACTTGAACCACCTGGGTTATCTGGTGGGGTTACCATGCAGTACGTGAATAAATCTCTGTATAAAAATTTCATATGAATTGATGATTCCAGGTATTAGATTTTTTATCCTCCAGTAAAATTATTCTTCTGATGTGTAGTGTTCTGAAATTAAGAAAATATTTTGTTTTAAAATTAAGTTTGTTAATTCAATCAAAAAGTAATGAAGAATGATAATTATAATATATTGTATTTCATCGTTATGGCCATCTGTGACCCCAATATGGTCTGCTCAAGCCCTTTATTCTTTAAATTAGGTTTGAAATCCAAATGAAACAATATTGACATTTATACAGCATGATAGATAATAGAATAGAATATTTTAAACTATTAAAAGTATACCATTTGGCCTCAAAGTCGGTGTAGGTTCCTTGACTGATATCCTATTACTTTTAAGTTCCAGTCCCAATTTATTCCATTGAGAACTTTCATGTCTGACTGTTTAATGCAGAATATTTTCAGCCTGTATCTTTATGAAAACGGATGGAATACCATGTACATTATGTTTTTTTCACATTTGGGGTATTGAAATCATAGCAAATTGTAAATAATCCACTTTTGTAATTACCCTAAACAGACACTTTTGGATTACTTACCCTTAGTATACTGTAGTCCTATGGTTGCCATCACAGACATTCCATTTGATTTACTGTTTTCTTGTACTTTAGTTTATATATAAAAGCCTAAAAAGGACTCTGTTTTGAATTTTTGATCCATAGTGAACACCTTTCTCCATCCTGTAAATATAAAGCAAATGTACATACAATTACAAAATGTATAAAACTAAATCTTTCAAAGCAAAATTAAACTTTGCATAGTTATCATCAACACATGAATACAAATTTGCCAAATAAATTACCAAGAAAATACATGTACATGCATTATTAAGTATTAATTTCGATTGGGTACAAAAAATAGATAGCATGTCACTAAGTGTGCCCCCATTATTTCATGTATTTATGCTCAATACATAAAAGTCACTCACAGCCCAGTTTATTTTTAAAATCCTGGAACCACCACTGTCAAGACTGTATTGATACTAAATTGACATATTGAATTTGATAATATAAATGAAGTTTGAGAAAGTAATATTGTCAATGGATTTTAATTTCTAATTAGATTGTATATATAATAATTGGAAGACTATAACATGTCAGGTATAAAGATATTGTACAGACATTAATTTGTTAGTTTCTGGTGATACATGTAATGCATGTGTAAGATTTCAAATGGATGGGGGATTGGTTAATTTCAACTTCTTTTATAATTTCAGAGATACATGTATGAATTTAGATGATGTCTATCTACTTTTTTTTATGGGAAAGAGGGGGGCAAGAGTCTATGGTAGTGAATATTCTGATCTGGTACATGTCCATGTAATCATAAAACTGACATGACCACGATGACTGAACATAACGTAAACATTACTAAAGATTGCTGACACTGGATGAAAATGAATATTCTGTCCAATAAAATGCAGGAAATATTTGTGTACAGATTGAAAATCAATTAATAATCATATAGAAGAATAAGAAAATGAATAAAGGGGGCCTATATCCCCTTGTAAAATTCCTCCTATCCACCCATATGAAATTTTTTTTTGGACGAGTATGGATAGTGAACCCCTGCCTGTGATCACTTTCCCTTTGTATGTTCTGTTCAGGCCAAATAAAAAAAATGTGTGCGTTTCTGACAGATGATAACGATAAGTTGCTAACATAATTTTCCCGCCTTTATTATGGTGAAACATCTGTAAAAAAATCAAGTTAAAAAAAAATTGAACAATGTTTTCTCGATGAAAATTCAATAGAGTATGCATTTCTTGTTGTAAAACAAAATGAGGAAATAAAAACGTAGGGTCACCGTACTAGAAAAAGAGATAAATATTTTATAGACGTTAAACATTTGAATTGGCGGGAATGCATTGCACTAATTCTGAAAGCAACGTCGAAAGACGTTAGGCCGAATTAACGATGTTTTCACAGGTTATGGACAATACAATTCCTATTTTTTTGCTGTTTTGCTAGTTGTTTGTTTTAAATGAACATTGATATTCAAATGATGGTAGATAGTTTTTAACGTAGACAAGTAATTTAAAAGTGGCAAGTCGAAAACAATGCGTTGTGCGAATTTCTAGAATGTAAATTTCGATTTAGTTAATAAGAATTTTCATGTTTTGAAAAGAAATTCAATTTTAAACAACGAAGATTTTCTATATATATAATAATGTGAACAGCGAAGTCAAAGTACAAATTTTATGAATATTGTCGGACTATATAGATAGTAAAAGAAGATCAAGTGTCTCATAGAGTTTGTTTTACAAGATGGGCTCTTGCTTATATG